GCGAGACGGCCCCGTTCCCAGACCCCCCCCCCCCCAGGCCCAGCAGGGAAGGTGGGGAGGAAGTGGTCGGGTCCCTCCTTTTGTGGGCGCCTCAGTTTTCCCCCCTAAAAGGCTTTGCCCCTTAGCGGAAAACCTCTCTCTCGCGCCTCCCTTCTTTCTGGCAAACGGAGTCCTAGCGCAACGGCCTTTATAGCGGGCCCTCAAAAGCAGAGTTAGCGCATGCACTGGGTGCACCAGTGAGCGTGGTGGTCGTCTAGCGGCCACCACATGCGCCTGTTGCACATGTTAGCGTGGCAATTGGGGCACCGTATGATACATCTAAAAATATAGTTTCTATCGTCCCAACGGCCAAAGCCGAAGGTATCGTCCTCATCATTAGCAACATGTAGCGGGAAGGGCACGTCCCGCTGCATCCAGGTCGCCAGCTCTAGCGCCCGGCCGGTCGGAGGCATCGCACAGATCTGCTCCAGGTCGTAGCCCGTCAGGTCTTGTAGCCACGCCGGGTTGGTAGCATTGGCTGGTGCCATCTTGTCCTTGCCTTTAGCGGTGCCCTTCCCCTTGCCTTTAGCTGCAGCCGGCGGCCCCTCCTCCAAGGTCCAGGTGCCTAGCGGCCAAAGAGGCCGCGGCACTGACGACCAGGAGAGCTCTAGCAGGTTGCCCTCTTCGCCCTGTGGCCGGCTGTTAGCATGGGCTCCCACCGGCGGTGGCATGACGAGCTCGATCGGCACGGTTGTGCCACGTAGCTCGGCCACCGAGCGGTTGTCATGTAGCGAAGTGAGAGGGCCATCGCGCAAGGTCGGCCTCATGGGCCTAGCCGCTAGCAGCACCACGTCCCAAGTGCGGTTGGGATCTGGTAGCGCCGTTGGTGGCTGCTGCTGGCCGCCGCCCGACCTGCTTAGCGACCGCCTCGGTGTATGCGAGCGCGACCCAACGTGCGAGCTGGCAGAGGGTTAGCTTCCTGTAGCGGTGGAAAGCTCCCTCGCCCCATCTTGTTGGGCGTAGCCGAGCGGCGCCGGGCATCGTCCATTGTAGCAGCAGCGGCTGGAGCGGCAGTAGCGGGGCCCGGGTCATTGCTGCCCCGCGGTGCCTCGGCAGCTGTAAGCGGCACTCTGTGTGGCCCGGGCCAACTGTGCTCGCTCTAGCTCTTGCTGCTGCCTCTGCTGCAACTCCTCTAGCGTCTGGCGGAGCTGCGCCTCCTGTGCTTGCTGCTGCTTTAGCTGTTCCGCTTGGAACTCAGCTAGCAGCTCTTCCTGTCTCTTCTCTAGCTCTGCCAGGTGCTGCGCCTTCATGGTAGCGAGGTCGATGACTTCATCAGGTGGTAGCGGCTCCTGCTGCACCACTCCGTGGACCTTGTCCACTAGCAGGGCCCTCTCGACCTCGTTTAGCTCCTTCTCCTCCTCCACGGTGAGGTCATCTAGCGAGGTCAAGCTCGCTAGCCAGTCAAGGCGGTTGGTGTAGCGGGAGCCCTCCGGGAAGCGTTGCTTGGAGGCCCCTTCCGCTGTAGCCGCACGGAGGCCTAGCGGAACCTGGGCCTTCCTGACCGTGTCCACTAGCGCCTGCAGCTCGTCGGGATGCAGCCGAGCTCGGAGCACGCCTTCTAGCGTGTCCTTGTCGGACTGCACCCAGTGCTTGACCGCTGTAGCGCAGTCAATCGCCGAGTGCTCTGTAGCGGGCACTTGGGAGCTAGCCATGCCGATGGCTGCTAGCTGTCGCTTTCGCTAGGGTTTTCCTAGCACAGATATCTCGAGAAAGAGAGCTGTAGCGAAAACGTTTCCCATAGCGAACCCTTGCGCACTCACTGCCTGACCTAGCCCGCCTCGCAACCTTCGAAATGGGGTTAGGGACAAAGGGGAAAACCCGAGGGAAGCCTAGCGCACACAGCGACCGCAAGGACATGTAGCAAGACCGCAGCAAGAACATGTAGCAGAACGTGATTCTCTCCCCTCCTCTTCTGTCTTCCCCCCCCCCGAGAGAGACCCCCCCCAAGGAGACCCCCCCAGAGGAGAAAAAGCAAAACGAAAGCAAGATTCATTTTAGCGTGCCAAAGGTACTTGCGTAGCCGTGGCAGTTGCCAGGCCCCCATTAGCCAGAGCATTCGCACTCAGGCCCGGGATGCTATCAAGCAGCCGGCTCTACCTCTAGCTGCGGTTCATCCCCCGAGTGAGCCGTGGAGGTCTCCGACCCATTTTCTAGCTCCTCGGGAACGTCGTCTTGCTGAGGCCAGCAGAGGCGGCACACATGAGTATACTCGGTGCTTGCTGGAAGGGCGTCAAAATTTTTAGCATTCCGAAAGTAGCGGCGCTGGCCCATCCAGCATCCTTTCCCGCAAGCCTTGTGTAGCCTGAAGACCGCCCCCGGCTGCCCCACGACCACATAGGCCGTCTTCCTGCCCTGCAGTCTAGCAGGTTTGGGTGCCCGCTCCTCGCTGGAGCTGCTGCTGTCCCCACTCGACGTGGTGGAGCTGCTTGAAGAGCTAGCACTGGACTCTAAAATCGGCGGGGGCACCACTCCAGCCACCGGTCCATCTAGCTCCACATCCGTTTTCCAGGTGATTTCTAGCACCCGAGCCTGCCACTCAGCCTGCGCTGGCGGCAGCCCTTTCTTATCAACAAGCCAGTCCCGCAGCGAAGTGCCTATCTCGCGTTCGTCTAGCACCTCGCTGTGGCCGGCTCCTTTTGCAGCTTTGGCAAAAATTGCCTGCAGCCGAGCGACCCTTCCTGGGAAGGTTCTAGCATACGTGTCGGAGCTCTCTGGCTTCCAACGACCTAGCAAATCTTTGTCGGCAGGTGGCGTCTCTTGTAGCGAGAGGCCTGTTGGCAAGACCGACCGCTCACTATGCTCAGTCCAGAACCCTTGGACCACAGAAGGCAGCCCAAGAAGATGTAGCAGCGCTGCTGTAGCCACCACCGCGTCCGGGTACTCCGCAATCTTGTTCTCTAGCAAGCCTTGGCCACCCAGACGCGGGAGAAGGTAGTCCCGCTTATAGGGTGCTCTTTCCTTTAGCAACTGAAAGCCAACTTGTAGCCACGTCTTGCGTTTGAAGAACGCGTGCTCGGACACGCACACTGGTAGCTCTTTGACCTTCTTGTTGGGGCCGGAAGTTTTCGTCTTCCGTAGCGTGGTGGTCAGCCTCCCCTCCACCAGCCGTAGCTCATGTGGTAGAATGGCCTGAAGGTCGGACCACCTGAGTGTAGCCCATGTCTTCACCAGTTTGGCCCAGGCCCATATGCGGTGCCCCACAGCTTGTGTAGCGTCAAGGACCAGGTCTTCTAGCTTCACTAGGATGAAGACAGGGTAGCGTGGCGCCCTCTTCGTGAGAGGTGTCCCCTGTGATAGCTCTTCCGTAATGCTGTCTCTAGCTGCCAGTGCGAGACGTCCCGCGGTAGCTCTTTCTTCCGCTGGGAACTCCCGACCTTTTCCAGCCAAAGTATAGCACTGTAGATGGAAGCTGGTATAGAGCGCCCACATGGTTCGTCTCGCCGGACCACCAGATAATCTACCAAGTCAGCGGGGCGGCCCGGCGGCCTTTTAAGTTTAGCCTCCCAGAGCCATAGCCGCCACCTTTTGTAGATAGTGAGGTAGCGCTTCAAGGTGGTGGCTCGCGTGCTGCCTGCTAGCATGCTAGCGGCACGTGGCGGGTCCAGGCTGCTCTCAAGTTGCTCTAGCACAGGTGCCCGACACTCCCGGAGTTCTTCGTGTAGCCGAAGGGTCCACACTTCCAGAAGTTTCTCTCCCCTGGCTTGTAGCACACTTCCCTCTAGGATCAGCTTCCTGCGTCGCTCCCCGGGTGGGGGTCTAGCAGGATCTTCTTGCTCCTCTGGGTCCGCACCACGTAGCCTCTTCTCCGGCGGTTCCAAGGCCGCCCAGTAGAGAGGCTCCCGGTGGAAGCCAGCCATCCTTATCTCGACTGGGCCTTTCCCCCTAGCTTCCTCGATCAAGAAGCGGAGCAATTGTTCTAGCTCCGCACTAAAGGGGATCCTCAGCTCGAGGGCCAGCTGTCTAGCTAGGCCCGGAACGTCCTCGTCCCGTACAGTGGCAAGCTCCGGATTGCGGAACCCTTGTTCTAGCAGGTAGTCGCGGCACTTCCGTAGCAGAGGGTCACGGATCTCCACTTCGGGTTCCGGTGACAGTGGCTGCGCATCTAGCATTGCCTCCACCTCAGATAGAGCCGGACTATCCGGAACTTCTTCCACTTCCATAGCGGCGAGCGGGGGCCTAGCCCCCGTTTCCTTTCCTATAATACTCTGAAAATCTTCTACCCCCCAAAGGGGTTCTAGCCGTAACGGCGACGGATAGAACACATTTAGCGAAAACACCTTCGATGTTTTAGCTGTCGACACCTTCGATGTCGAAGGAGGAACTTCGGGTTGCTAGCACACACAGTTGTCCCTCGTCCCTCGTTACAAGAAGCAAAACTTTACGAAGGCTCCCAAAGCATCCAGATGCATCTGTCAAAACACAGACTAGCGCAGAGAACATAGAAGCTGCAGCCGCAACACACAATACTACCGCTAGAGGCAGTTAAAGGGCACGCACGGGCACGCTCGCTTGGCATGACGAAACTCAATCCGAAGCCTGAAGCCGTGGTCGGCTTGAAATAAATCGCAGTTGAAACCAAGGCGCTATCATTATCATCATGATCAGGCCCCCCCAACCCGCCCTTCCCCCCCTTGATGCGGCAAGATGGAGCCTGGCAGACAGCATGCCGCACCGAAGCAACCCGACACAAAAAACAGTAAGTATCATTTTGCACGTGTAACAGCTTTTGAGCCTTGGAATTGAATTTAGGGCTCTGGGGCACCACACTTGCGCATCAGGCATGTCGTGTTGCGAACTATATCGGGCAGTTTAGGCTTCTGCCACTCTGCAGTCCTGGTGCGGGAACCACGCACGGCTTGAAAGAGCATTGTGAACATTGGCCGCGAATGATGAAACACTGAAGCGAGTTTGTGTATGGCAGTGTGTGGACGTGTGTGACAGTGTTTGAGAGTGGTCGCGGCCTGTGACTGACCTGCGCCGACGGGAGTTGGCGGCGGCACCTGGCCACCCGCTTGCTCTACCGTACAGCTTCTGAAACAGCCGAGGCCCCACCAGCTCCCGCTCCAGCCAGAAGTGCCACAGGAGCTGCAAGGGTTCGGCCAGAACTGCTCACAGGGCATTCTGTGCTGTGCTTGGACTTCGGCGGCCGGCTTGGGCCTGGGCTTCTGCCTGGCAGAGGACACCTGCAGTGCCGACTCGAGAGACTCTTCCGGCCTATCCAAGACAAATCTCTGAGTCTGAGGTCGGATCATGCGGGGTGCTAGTGAGATGCTCGCGACTCAGCGGTCGACCTCCCGGAGCCCGCCATGCATCCAAACTGAAACCTTCATCAAACATCATCAAACCAGATTCAAGCTGCTTCGTGAGACCCGCAGGCTTGGCGAGCTTGCCTGAGTCTTGCAACATGCGGCTGTCTGAGCTGCCTCAAAAGCTGAGGGCAGAACAAAACAGAGATGCGGCGCACAGCTCAACTGCAGCCTGCATCCCAAGGCTGCGCACGGCTCTTGGCGACATTTGGCGATGTCTCGATGCCTCCATAGAAGCAGCCCACACATGCCAGCCTCCAGCGAACACAATTAACAAAAAAATGCTTAGAAGCGGTTGCTGGGGGCGTTGCGATGCTTGCTTTGAGGGCTCGCCGGTCTCCAGGCTTGAGGTCCAGCTGGCCCTGCAGAAGATCCAATGCCCTCTAACGTCGCAACTTCAACGGCTCTCCTGCACCGCCATGGCCGTAAGCCGCCTGTGTGGCTAGGCCGAGTGTCCTTCCCCCACCCTTTTGAGCACTGCCGGCGAGACGGGAGCGTCGAGAAATGCTGGCTGAATTCATGACACCATGCTGCAAAACGACTCTGGTGCACCGGAGGCCTAAAGTGAGACCGCCGCCGGTGAGTGAGCCAGCTTTGGAAGCCGTGTGAACTGTTGTAGACTTCAGAACTTGCCCTTCCTGTGCCAGAGGGGCCACCAAGGCGCAGCGCCCTGTGCCTGCCGCTTTGTGCAGCCCGGAGCCTCTTTCAGGTCGGTGTCCTTTGGAAGCTTCTTTACTTTGGAACCATACAGCCTGATAAGCATGCCCCGTGACAATGACTGGACCAGAATGCCACAAAAAAGCCCGACGCTCTGAGAGACGCACTTTCTGTCCAAACCTTGGCCACAGCCACAGGCTGTGTGTGAACATGTTGCCCCATGTTGCCTGTGCCTGCCAAGCTCTCACCCGATACAAGAGATGCTCAATCGGCTCCGGACCTTCAACAACGTCAAACTCGACAATATCCTCGACCTGACAACTCAGCTTTCGGGAGGATTGCCAGTCCCATGAGAAACATCGAAGTTTCAACAACTGCAACTTCGGACGTGTGCCTCAATCTCTCCTTCCGCGACATCGGCCAAATCGAAGAACACCTTTCAGCTACATCAAGAAGTCTAGCAACATACCTGGAAAAATACATGACTAGTTTCACCTGACTAGGCCACAGGCATCCTTCTCTCCATCTGCCCGTTGAATGAACCCACTCGGCTTGCCAGCCACGAACCTGGCATGCCATCTCATGCCCTTGAGCACGAACGTGCTCTCGCTCTGATTTCCCTTCGGCTCTTGTCAGGCATGGCTTGCAAATTTGTGCCCCACGGCTGGGTCCCCCTTTCCAGACAGGGCAGCTGGGCTTGATCACTTTACCTCTCAAGCCGGTTGAGACCACTTTGACCTGTCTTCTTGCAGAACTAGAAGAAACATGCCATTGGAGGTGCTGAAGAGGTGCAGATGAGAGTTTAAGGTGAGAATCGAGGCCTCTCTCTTCCCTTTGCCTTGCAGTCCCGGGGGGAAGAACGGCAGTGATCTTCAGGGTGGCTTGCTCAACATTTCTCTATTGCATGCCGCTTGCCTTTGTCTCCTTTGGCATCTCCCTTTCGATTGCCACTTTTGTCGCCTTTTCCTCCGCCCTTTCTTTCGCCTTTCTCGCTGCCCTTCCTTGAGCGTGATAAGAATTGCTCAAGCAAAGTCCATGAACTCTCAGACACCGAGGCGCTCATCAAACGCTGAGGATGCGGCCGCTCGCCCTTGCGGTCATCTGCAGGCACTTCTTTTATGTCACCTTGCCAAACCCATTGTTACGTTTCAGGATCCGAATGACTTGGCCTCTATGTGGCTCCACGTGGATTGCAAGATGATTGCAAAGCTGCCTTTGCCCTTACCTTCAGCTGATCTTCCTTTTCCATTGCTCTTGTAGCCTGACAAGCGGGCATGCCTGAAAAAAGGGATCAACAAACCGACTCGACTTCGAAGGAGGCGCAAAACTTGCGAGGCACATGATTACACCGCGTAAAGCTCGACTGTAAAATTCCTTCCCTTTGCACTTGCCGGTGGTAGAGAAAGAAACCAGGAGTATGAAATGAAGAGCAGAAAGCACAACAACAATCACGCAAATTCCTGTCAGACGAATACTACCAGCGCAAATGTGACAGCCTCAGCAGATTGATGTCCAGCGTCCGCATGAAAATGGAATCCCCATGAGCAAAATGCCACCCGGTGCCATTTCGGTTTCTCTCGTTCCGGTCCCTGCACCGGACCTATTGTGCGGGCATCTTGCACGGTCCTTGGGTGATGAGCAATCAATGGCACGGATCACAGAGACGATCCTCCAAACATTGATTGGACAAACAAGAAGTGCGAAAGACAATTTGCCACAGGAAGCTCCAGGCCACAGGTGAAACCACAGAGGCCAGGATGAGTGAGTACATCCGTCCAGGGGTTGAGTTAAAATCCCTCTTCACATTCTTCACTTAAGACAGTGCTAGCTGCATGCCATTGCTGCACAATTGCAGAAGGATCTCCATCAGATTGAGCGAGGTTGGTATATTGTTGGACTTGTTCTTCAACAGGAGTGTAGTTTCCATCGGTTGCCCTTAACCAAGGCTATCGTTTTTGCAGGTCTTCCACAACGCATAACATGGGAAGGTAGTTGTCCTTCGCGCTTTGAACGAATGGTCAAGAAGGATCAATCATCAAACCGAGCCATGCGTTGGCCTCAGCAAGCAGAGTCTTCTTCCAATTGAGTGGGGTGCCCAGTGCCAACAGAAGGTTGCAAGGATATGTCCATTAGCAGTGCGAAGCAGTCATGCGCAATCATCAGCGAAACCAAATCCCAATCAACTTCGGGGACAGCAGGACAATTAGCAAACATGCAGCAAGCATGGGAGACATCTGCCTTGAGGATGCGCAAGAATGCACCAGCCCGGCACGGAATTCCGCTTCTTTGCCGGCTTGCGTACGGATTTACAATGGCTAGGCTTTCCCAGGCTCCACCCTTGTAACAGTGTTTAGCCCCTGCCCAAGCAGCCATCCGGTAAACACAGGAACAGCGGCTTTGCTGAATGCGAAGATTCGCTCCACCCTTGGAGCCATCAAGGATTGTTCAGACTTTGCTAGAAAAATCGATCCCGGGCATAAGAACGGACAAAGTTCATCCGCCGTGCATCCACAGCGCACCGCGGGCTCTTGTTCGCCCGGATCTCATTGAAGGTCTCAGCTGCCGCCCGCGTCCAGTCACCGATACAAAGAGGCCGTGATCTGCCACTGTTGTGCAGGACGTGTCGCCACTCCAGGGAAGTCGTCCTCAGCCTCAACCGGCTGTCTGGATTGGCATCGGCTCGTGCGGCCGTGACTTTCTCGTCGCTTCCTTTAGTGAGGACTGCCACGGCTAACTCCACCTTCTTACGCTTGTCCGAAAGGGAGGCGGGATCAACGACGAACTTGGCAAAGGACTTCCTGCCGCATCCTCAATCATTTCGGCAGACGTCTCCGGCACGTCGCAAGCAGCTACTGGCAGCAAACAGCAGACCACCGGACTGCTTCCCCACTCAGCGAAGCAGCCCAGCACGCAGAGCAAGTCATGACCAGAATCCAGGCAGGCAAATCAGAAGCAACCGGGGGCAAGCCAACGCACTCGAAAGACGCAATCCAGTGAAATGAATTATGACTGCGTCCCGGAAACATCTTGAGCTTGTGGCCGTGCGGAGTTTTAGCTGATCTTGGCAGCGTAAACCGGCAGGAAGTTGGGTCTTCCGAAAAGGGAAGCCACAAAATGAGAAATGAGACCGCGGCAGCGCTCGTCGTGCTACTGTACTGCTTCAATCCCTTCGGAAAATGATGCGGCTAGGCGGCTAGTCCTGTCGAGCTTTGATGCTTGCTCGACCCGGCACTTGCGCCATGCATTTTGCTTCTGGCTGTATCCAACAAGAAATCACAGGCCTGAAATCTGAAGCATAGAAGCTTTAATGCCATATAGGCCTGAAAGCAACAACAAGCACCGGCCCGGTCTCAGGCCGACGGTCGGCAGGTCCGGAAGGAGGGGTCGGCAGAACGGATGGACGGATGATGGAAAAGCGGAAGGAGACTACAGGTTTGCAACAGCTGAGAGCTGCCGGACGATGTGAAATCCTCATCTATTCTTTCGTGCTCGTCTTTCCGATTCGGTTGCATTCTGAATTCTGACATTTGTTCCTGCAGAGATGCATTTTTCGACCCTGCGCCTGCCCACTCGCCGGCAGAACTCATTCCGCTACCTGGACAGGAGGGCACTGCAGGGCAGGCTTGGCCTCTCAATACTCGGAGAAAAGACTAGGAACGGCAGGCGCGTGGCCGCACCTGATCCAAGATGGGAAGCACCCACGAGCCTGAAAGCGTAGCGGAGAAGCGTTTGCCTGAGTCGACGGATTGAAAACATCGTCAGATTCCGCTACTTCCTGAATGGACTAATCCACCTGCTAGGAGAGCGTTGAGAAGTTTCGATTCCTTCAGCCGTGAGTTGGTGCGGACTTGTGCATCTTGAGCGCTCTTCGGCTGACGCGCCTGTATGGAGCTTCTTGGTGAGTTGCGAGGTCCAGAGTCCGTGGCTCTCCAAAATCGGGTGATACCTAGATATTGACGGAGTCCACGTCTGAAGAATTGCATCTCTCTGGGATCTGTGCTGCTCTGCAGCCAACTCAGCAGCAACCTACAGAATGGTCACTTCCACGGATGTGGCACAGCATGTCAAGCTTGACTGTTGAACTGTTTTTCCAAAGGAAGCTGCCTGCCCAAGCAGAGAGTTTCTTTCTTGACCTGAAGACCATAAACAGTTTGACAGTGTTGATGCCACTGGGTGCAACTCACAGTTCTGTCTGCGGGCCTGTACACTCGAAACTAAGCAGTCATGCCGGAGCCCCTTTGAGGGGCTGGGACTGACCTCAGTACAAATCAGGCGGACCTGGTTCCTGTCGGCCTCATACTTTCAAACTCTGCGCTCCATCGCTAGGCCCGCTAGGGAGCCAGCGATGATCTGCCGACAAAAATCCTGGGGAAGCAGCCTGTGCCAAGAGCATGCCGGGAGCCATTTCGCGGAAGCAGGTGAAGAAAGTTGAACTCGGGGCGCTGGCGAAATTCAACGTTGGATCTCTCAGATGACGAGGCTGGCCGGATCCTGAGCAGAAGAGCAAGCAAAAGGAGAGTCCCGTGTAACCGGCTGATCCGAGGCCCGTGCAGGTTCTTGTTTCTGCTCCTCGTTTCTGATACTTTTTAAGACTTTTGACGCCTTGACTTTGACTGGTACAATTGCCAAAAGCCAAGAGGCTGGAGACTGCAGAGCTTACCTTGGCCGCACCGTCAGGCACCGTGGCTTGCGCTATCTGCACTGGCTGTGATACGTTGCCACTTCAGCCCAGGCACCAGCTCAGTCAAAAGAGGTGCCCAGCAGTCTGTGGAAGTTTGGCATTACCCCACAACGTCGAGCTGCGTGGGCTAAGCGAGAGAAGCGATTTGGCAATTCAACTCTTCAGCGATTTCGCCGCATGCCGTTCGTACACCAAGGCAGGCAAGCCGAGTGCATTCGTGCATTTTCGTGCTCCGGAGCACAATTCAACCACAAGCACTGAAGCATCTCAGCAGCACGTCAAGCCTTCAGCTGACGTTGGGATCCCTCTTAGATGATTCATGACGTTTCGCAGCGAAGCTGACTTCCATGAGTGCCGTATTGAAGAACCCTCTGAGAGCAGGGTGACACAGACAGTTGGCTTCAGCCAACTTGGGCTGCCAAAGGATAAGCTTTGCAGAGTCTCAAAGAGTACGAGTATCTACCCACTTCCGACTCTTTGCACAACTCCAAAACGACACCCGTTCAAGCTTGTCCCGCGGTGTGAGGAGCTCAATGGAGCTCAGGACCGTCGCATGAACGATGCCTGCAGAGCATTCGCAGGTCAACGGAGACGGTCAATCGCCCAGTCCTGATGTCTTCGTTCCTTCTGGAAATTTTAAGTGACGACGTGAGCCTCAACCCGCTCTGTTTTCTGATGCTGAACATGGAAGCATTGCCTGGATTCACACGGCCCGTTCGGGTTTTCCATCTGGCATCATGCCATCGTGATTGATGTAGAGCTGCTCGCCTGCACGGCAAATCATGTGCCCGCCCGAAATAGAAACACACCACACCCACAAGAAGCACGGGCACCATCCAAGCATAGTTTAGCGGCAATGGCCCTGTAGTCGCCGTTGTGGTCTCGGTACAGCCTGCTGGCACGCCAGGGATGGAGCGCAATGTTCCTTCGAAACCTACACAGAACTTTGTGGACATGAAGCATACGGCGAGCTGTTTCTCTAAGCAAGATGCGCGCAAGTTGTGTGTTGGTCTGATTTTCTGTCCAGCGAGTCCCTGCACGGGACAGATATCAAACAGTTCCGCCGACTCTATCAATCGCCTCTGACTGCTTGTAAACTGCGACTAGATTTATCCGCACAGGACCTGCGTTTTTGTTGATCTACGAGGAGCAAAGCCAAAGCAGACATAGATTTTACCACAACTGCCTCCGGTGGTTCTTCTCGTTCACCAGCAACTCTAAAGTGGTTTTCTGCTCTGCATCGTACCTCAAACAATGGAATGCCACCGGCCACTGCTTTGCCGGATGTCAGCTTTGAGGTCAGTCGTGCAAGCTCATAGAAGCTCCGAAGCCCCGGCGCTGTGATCGCCAAGCTGCGTCCATCCGTTGCCTGTGCTTCGGAGATGCGCTGGGTGGTTCCTGCTGCCCACTTACGCGCGCAGATCGCCCCGAGCATCCAGCCATCTCACAGAGGTAGAACACGCCATTGATGTCTTTGCCCTCTTTCAAGACGTACCTGGCCGAAAGCTGGATACCATCGAAGTCGCTGCCTCTCCTTTGCACCTCAAATCGTCTCCAGCAGACTCCTGACCGACTTCGCCTGGGGCAAGAGCACCGAGGGAGCCTGCAGCGATCGGGCTGGTTCACACCGTGCCACAGTGCGTTGTGGCATTGCGGCACAGAGCATCCCACAGCCAGGTTAGATCTAGGAGACTTGGAAGTCTCTTATCAAGTTCATTCAAGAGGGAACCTGTAGTCGTCGCCATGCCTTTGTTGGCCTGGTCACGACTCTGATTGGGGTTCAGGCACTGACCGTTGGGACAGTGGGCACTTAGTATATACAGCAGCTGGGCCAGGATTTTCGCTTAATGTCTTGAAGCCCGTCCTTTCCGGAGAGCGGGGTCAGGCTGCTTGACCTGCATGTAAAAACGCACTTCAAGTTACCAAAACGCTGACGCCGCAATGCGAAGGCCTTGTCGGCACCTTCTTCTTTGTCAGAGTGAGAGGATATTCGCAGCTGTTCCTGCATTGTCATTCCAAGAGAAAGATGCGGCTCCAGCATCACAGACATTGCACCAATTTTACACATGCGCCCTCTTTTTTGGCATGCTTGGATCTTCGGCGAGGCGTGAACTGTCGACCTACGTAACCTCTGCCACTTTGGCAGAGTTTGCATGTGGTTGGAAAATCGATCGCAGAACTGCTGCCCGCAAGCATGTCTTTTGCAGCGCATGGCACAGGGTATTCTCGCCAGTCCCAGCTGAATACTTGCAGGGTGCACGCCCAAAAACTTCGCATGACCGCGAAACATTCGAGTCTGCTGCGCAATTCGTACAGCAAACTCTGCGTAATGGCATATTCCCACATGAAATTCATTGAGGCCAGTTGGCCACCAAAGTCCGCTCGACCGTGGAGTACCTGTCACTCAGCATTCATCCCACAAGCAAGCAATGCGACCCGACCTTTCAAACAGGGCTGCCGGATCAAGAGGACAATAAACAAGGATCAACATAATCAAATATTAGGATCAAACAATATCAAACAAAACAAAAAGGATCAGCAAAAAAACAAAAGTCGCGAACCCGGGGAGTCACGGCTGTAAAACTGCGGCTACGCGCTAGACTTGCCATCCTGCAGGTAATACTGCGTCTGAGGGCCCGAGGTGATCGATGTCTGCAACTGGTGTTTCTGGCTATCTTTTGCAAAAAGTACGATGGGAGCGCAAAACATGCTCCATGGTCAGAACATAAGGAACCGCCTGTCGCACGGATCCGTTGCAAACGGTAGAACGTGGGGACGAAATATGCATCCCCCCGCGACGACGACCACTGCTGCTTTTGTTATCATTACTACTAATTACCACTACTACCACTACTACTATTACTACTCCTACTACTACTACTACTACTACTACTACTGCTGCTACTACTACTACTACTACTACTACTCCTGCTGCTGCTGCTACTGCTGCTACTATTGCTACTATGAACACGACGACTACGACGACTACTACTTCTACTTCTTCTTCGTCTGCTTCTGCTCGTTTTCTTACAATTAAGAAAACGAGGGGCTCGATTTCTCATTTTAGTGGGTTCTGGGCTTGCATGGGCTTGCCTAATAAGGGCTTAATAAGGCCTTAATAACAGCTTTGGAGGGCTCTGGAGGCTTTGTAAGGGCTTAATAAGTGCGTAAATAAGGCTTTGCCATGTAGGAAAAGAAACCACCAAAATAAGAAATTGAGGGGCTCGTTTTCTTAAAAAGACGAGGGGCGTGATTTCTTATTTTGGGGGGTGCTGGTCAGGGCTGCTTGCAAGCTGGGTAAAAAGTGGGATGAATATAGTGGCGTTTCAGGATTCTGGCGGCTGCCACGCCCGAGTGGATAAGCACATGAGCTGGAACGGAAAGTGCTGCGGGCTCGAATCCTGCTGTGCTCTCATTTCTTGTGTTGTTTTATGTTGTTTTTATTTGCTGCCGTTGCAAATTCAGAAATTTGGGTTGAGAAATCCATGGTACCCTCAAATCCGGAAACGTGTTTTTACAAGAAAACGTGCGCTTCAAACATAAGAAATCGAGCCCCCCCCCCACGAAACATTAACTGTTTCGTAACCGGCACTGTCGCTGTATGATATAACGTGATATATTACAACATCATGTAACATAATATAAAATGTGGATACAACAGATTCCAATATAATATAGGACAATATAACCGAAAATGGTATACGATACCATGACAAAATGAAATAAACTATGATTTGGTATAATATATTACACAAAAATTTGATAGGATAATATATATATATATGTATATATATATATATATGTATATATATATATATATGTATGCATATATATATATATATATATATATATATATGTATATTAAAAAATCCAATATAATACTACAAATCATAATATATCATATTCTACAAAGACTATTTCATATAATAGAATATGATCTACAGTGGTATAATTTGGTATGGTAAAATAAAACATAGTATAATATAGTAAAACATAATATAACATGATGTAATATCACATAATGTAATATCATATATACAACATTGTACAATAAACTAGAAGATAATATACTTTTAATATAATGTGATGTACTTGAACAAAACATAATACAATATAACATACTGTAACATAGTATAACATAAAACAATGACGCACCCCCTCTTGCAAACATAATATCTTTATGATCAGTCTTGAAAAGCTTTGAAACAGTTTTGTGCTTGATGCAAGTCTTGTTCATGGTGCGACGTTCTTGAAAGCAGGCCTGCGCGGCTCAAAATGAAAGCGGGGGGGTTTGGGGGGGCGAAGCCCTCCCCATTTGCAAACACAACGTCTTTATCACGGGTTCTGAAAGGGTTCATAGGTTCTGTCTTTGCCGGCAGGATGATACCTGAAGCGATATTGCACAGCTAAGACAAGAAACAGGGACGCACCTCCCCAATTGGAAACAGAATGCCTTTATGCTGAGCTTTGAAAGCTCGAATGTGGTAGCAATAGGGTACCGGGGCACCACAAGACCAGGGGACCAAAGGACCAGGGAACCAGGAAGCCCATAAGCCCCTAACCTTTGATCAAGCGTGTATTTTGTTTTTGATACTTTTTCCAAATATTTATTGATCATTTTCATGTTTTTTGATCCCCATCACCCTAAACAGCAGCATGGGGCGCATCGTGTAGGCCACTGCCACGTACATGCTGCGCATGAAAAGATCGCGCGGGACCAGTCCACTCAGCCTTGTCCTGGAATGGCAAGGCGGCCAATGTGACTAATCTGTTGTGTGAATGCGCCTTCCGTTGGAGGTGTCCAAATATTGATTTTTCAGAAACCTCGGCAAACTTTGATCACACTTCCTGAAACCTTGGCGCTGTGCACAGATGCGGCGACTCGGCAGCCCAACCCATCTCCGGTGAGTCTGTGCCAGACCCCAGTTCACTTTGACTCGATTTCGGACGAGGTCACACCAAGGTATCGGTTGCAAGAAGTAACGTGGTCTGGAAGACACATAACGGAGCGCGAGCACCGAGGATCAAACGGACACTCTTTCTCCCATGGCAGCTCATGACATACATAAGTCATTGGCGAAACCATTCTCTCCCTCTGCTCCGCGCCGGGAAGGGTCCTTGACAGCCGACTTGGAGGATCAGACAAAAGACGGGAAGCAGAAAATCCAACTACTCACCAGTCCTCAGCTCTGGCGTTGTCACGGTGTAACTGTAAAGCTGGTGGACTGGGGCGGACAGGCAAGCTGCGCAAACCTCAGTGTGATTGGGTAGATCTAGATCCCTCGCATCTATTGGCATTTGCATAAGCTGCCGGCATTTCCAGCAAAATCTCCTGCCAGCGTAGTCCTTCAGCTGCGCTTCAACCCAAAATGAAAATGTCCGAAGCCAAGGACAGCATGCCCACCCTGGACGACTCAGGTATGCACATTGAATTGCTATTGCCGGTCGCCTGGTGCGTGCGCTCGCGAGATCTCGCGAGCGAACGGATAGAAAGAGACTCACCAGCTGCCTTTTCAATAGCGGTTGTGCACGGTTTGCAGAACATTCGGAGTCCTGCCTGACGACAACAGATACAGCAGTCGCACGCATTGCTGAAAGATCCGAGCGCACCGTCGCAATCACGTTCCGGAAGACGTGGATGCCGAATCCAGGGCCAAAAGGCTGGCAAAGGTGAAAAGCAGAATAACCCACATCTTCGATTCCTTGTGCTCGCCCAAACCTTCCATGACGGATGCACTGAAGGGATGCTGCCGGGGCCTGCAGCACGCATGGCTGCATGGCCTTCTTTGCAGGCAGTCCTTGGGCCGCGGCTTTTCTGGTTCATCGCCAGCTGAGCATTCTTCGTCTCTGCTCCGTAAACGATCAGGGTCTGAGCGACACATCCATGGGTCAAAGCCACATCCACCGGCATCATCCTCTATCATCTCTGGCTCTACTCTGCCGTCGCACCTCAGTGAGGCTGGTGAGGAGAACACCACCGCCTCTGACAGTCACGAACTCTACGTCCCATAGCAGGCAGCGGCAGCGATCCCACGACTTTTCAGACGTGCTGTTCGAGTATTCTAGTACGTGTACCTCATACCTCATATATATATATATATATATATATGTATATACATACACACATACATATCCGGTTTACACAATAGTTACATCATGCAATGAACTGACCATTGCTATGGGGCAGTCAGAATACCGTGGCCCGCACCGACACCTGAAAACGAAGCATAGAAGTGGTATGCTGGTCCTGCTCAGCTTGCACCATTAAGTCGAGCAGAATCCAAAAACCTCGACTGACGCCATGCTCATGCTGACCATTGCCTAGGCATAGAAACTGTGGGCATGCTGCTCGCGCAGTAAAGGCACCGCCTGAGAGTTGGAATAGTCGTGGCATCGAGCACACTTCCGTGTTTTGCAAGAAACCGCATATCGCCTGAGTCCAGCACCTGTCCAGCCTTTAGCAAGGCCCTGTGCAAAAACCTGGACTTCGCAGCTCGGGCGAATGACAAAAAAGGTTCAAAAGCAGTTTCGCTCCTACCGAGCCCGGCCTGCTGGTACAGCTCAACGGCACTTGCAGGACTTGTGGCACCTTGTGAACTGCGGGCGGATGGAGGCGCTGCTGAGCACGGGATGGCCAAGCTCAGGGCCCAGAGTGAGACCATTTCGGAAAGGCGTCACCTCGGCGCGGCAATGCCAAGTCATGGAAACACCTCACGCGGTGCACGGCCGAGCAGAAACCTCACAGGCCTCTGACCAAGAACATTACCGCAGGACCTCCGAACCTTAGGACACGTCAAGGTTGAGAGGCGCATCCAGCGAGAGCTTGGCCGAGGAGGGGCTGCGCGCAACTCTGCGGGGATCTGTGTTGTGCCGGGTATCTTTTTTCTGGGCTGGCAAGGAGTAGGAGGTTTCGATCTAATGTTCACTTCATATTAAGAAAGGGCCCCCCCCCTTCCCCCCGCAAGGATGGGAGCCTCAGCCTCCGTAATAGTAATAAGAGTCCGGGTCCAGCATGAGAGCCATTCATCAGTGTCATAGTGCAGTGTTCGCGAATTTGCTGAGCAGAACCCCCAACAGCCCCAAAGCCTTTTCTGCTCCTGTAGATTATGCTTACAGTTTTTTTTGATTTTTCCGCTAGGCCGCTTGGATTCTGCAAATACGGGGGGGGGGGGTTTCTAATTACGTGGGAATTGGATTTTGCAATTACGCGGGGATTCTAAATATGAGGTTGGCATTACGGCACTTCGGGGCATACGTTGGCATACATAGGCATAACATGGCAAATCACGCTCTTCTTTATTTATACACTCTTGTCGGTATCGCATGTCAAAAGTGGAGTTGCGTGAGTCGCCCAGCCTGCGTTGACTGGTTCAGATCGTTTTCACAAGACGGAGGATCAGCATCAGTTCTGAATTCCGGCCCGATTCAGTGATGGACCCAGGAGCCTGATTAGGCCGCATAGCATGCAAAAATGGGCACGCGATCGTGCAGGAGCACGATGCATCAAGTCGGACAGCGCCAAATTATTGGAACTTACAAGTATGGGAATTTACATTGAAGCGTGGGTCTCTGGAGGATGTGGCTGCAGCAGGACTGTGGAAACAACACAGACGGCCAATACGCCATTGCGCCACTACGTGCCCATCCGCAGGCGCCTCCAGGTTCTTCGGGCAATGAAGATGCCCCCGAACTATGCGTCATTATTCACGTGATTCAAGCAAGCACAACAGATAGATGACGTTCAACACTTCTAAAATTCAAGAATAACAGGTGCTTGCGTGCTCGTCGATGCTTCAGGACGGAAGACGCAGCTCGACCCGCGGACGAATGGTGCGACGTGATCACAGAACTGGACTTGTTTGCCACGTCACAGAGGTCACCGAGGTCGCCGCCCGCCAGCTACGAGCACCGGCTTACTGGGGAGCTCAAACTCGAACGGCATACCTCGGTCAGTTCAGCCAAAAACCACCACAGCTCTTCAGGATCCCGCGCCCTGCGATGTCCTGCGAGTAGGTGGGTGCGAGTAGGTGGGCGATAGACAATATTTGCACGGCAACGCCGACAACATGAAAAGCTGATCTCGAGCACCCGCGTAGTAGTTGGGACGGATTTCAGTTGAAGCTCGCAGTGCGGTGATGAGAGTGAATACTTCAGTACAAGCACATACCGGTGTCTCATCGCCCCTTTCAACTGACGGATGTTTGCTGTGCACAGGGGTCTTCTCAGCGCAGGAAACCCGATGGTCCGAGCACCTAATAATGAGATTAACCTGCAAAACCATTATCCCAAACACATCGGAACCTGAGGGAACGTGCGGTCAAGGATTGCTGCAAGACTTGATGCACAATGCCTTTTCTTCACGTCTTATCCCGCCCCTCCAGGATTTTCGTGGCGAAAGACAATACTTCGTCGCGGGGTCGCATTGTCTTGTAATTACCAAGCACTGACAACCGCGGCTGCCGACACAGATCATGCGATACAGTTTAAGAGCACTGAGCAGACGAAAGCTCCGCGTGTGAAGACCCCCAAGCCACGTGCCTCCGAACCTGCGCACTCTCTGTGCTGCCGAGGACTTGCAACGCTCAATGGCTGCGGACATTCACAGTCAAAGGGACATCTATACGAAGACAGCTTCACAGTAAGGCAGTATGAGGCAGTCACTATTTGGCGTGCCGGGCTACAACAATTGAAAAAGTGCAACAACTCAGCCGGCTCTGCTTGAGATAGGTCAGACTGCGTCGGTACGAGTCATCCCATTCGACGTGATTGTACACTGGCTGTGCCTGAGCTGTCGGAGGCAAGCTCTCCAGGCATTGGTATGAGAGCTGGATGAGCTGAAGACACTTGTGCAATGGTCGAATGCAGAGCAGTGATGCGGAATCGTGTCGAATACCATGAAATGCACTGCGCTGCCTGCTGGATGCGCTTGAGAATGGCGAGGTTCTCCTAAGTTCAGGTGAGTTGTTAAAAAAACACACGGAGCATGCAGCCTTGCCATCCCACCTGCGTGATTCGCGACAGCTCAGCTTTTCGAGCATCTCGCGTGTTAATGGCCGGACTGCTTTGTGCACCTCGGGCCATCGAGGACAAACGATGCTCTGCAATGGCATGCGATGGCAACAGCAGCCAGCAGTGCAAGCATGTCAAAGGATGTCGCCAAGGCCAGATTTCACAGACGGCGTCTTCATGATGTCTGACCTTCTATCTCAAAGAAGCCAAAGGGTTGACGGGTGCGCGAGTACTCCTATAGGTCGGGATCGTGCCAAGTCTTTAAGCCATTTTCAGCCCACTGCATTTTCTGCAGAAGAATGCGGTTGTCGCGGTCGATAGCATGGTACCTTTCCAGGAACTGTGCATACATTTGGGATCCTTCCGTAGGTATGCTACCCTGCTCGCAGAAACGCGCCTCTCTTCGAGCAGCTGCTCCTGTCAACAAAGTCAGAAAGAAGAGTTTCATGTCAGGCCTGGGACCTTTGCAGCACCGGAGCACCGGTTATTGCTGGAGCTTGAACGGCAAAATCGCTCCCGCTTCAGGTTGTTCCGCACATGATCGAGGGCCATGCTGTCAGGAGGTCGTGTGTCGATCTGCCAGCAAGGCATTCTACACTAATTGCGAGCATCCCGTGGCTGGCAAGCTGTTGGGCCTGTGGCTTGACATTCTTGATGCGCGACTTCAACATCTCCTGCTCCCTTTTCCGCACCCGTGCTGCACATGCCTTGTTGGCCACCTCAACGAATCGAAAGCATTGCACAACACATTCTGCAATAAGTCTTGTCGGCGTGCGCCACGCTCATTCTCGCACACTAGTCGTCTGCCCAGTGGCATGCTCCGAACAAGGTCATTAGATGTCATGAGTATTGTGAGGCTACAGTGAAACTCCGAACTTTGGCAAGTGCACTGCATTGCACTGATACACATCAGCCGTGCGTCGGGCACATGAACATCTCCGAATCTCCAGGAAGACACAAAGGTTTACGTTGCTTTGTCGGGGAAGCGGGCAGCGGGCCCCCGAACCCGAAAGACAACCCGGACATATCCGGACCTAGCGTTCGCGTATTTATGCAATTGAATACTGCTCCAGTTGCCACAACTGCTACAGGTAGCATACCCGCTGGACGAACCTCTCGAGCAAGGAATGAGATGTCGAGCAAACATAAAACAACCCGATGCCCCGAAACCCCCACAGCTTTCTGTAAGAGCCATACCAGGTTGGGCTTCATGACACCTGGACACGAGCAAGTCGGGATCTTCCACTTGCAAGCAAGACTGTGATCGGTGTGAGAGGTGCTGGGGTGTGCACTCGCGGGCCGTGCGCAATGTCAAACGAAGTCTGGCAACTCTGAGTGCAACTGGCCGTGTGTATATGCTCTGTGATGCCTTTCGCCCAAAGCTGCTTGGCTTTCCAGCAGATTATGACTTGAAGCATGAACCTCTCTTCGAGCCGATGGAGCATGTTCACACTCGTCTAGCGTGAATGCCCCGGTTCAAGAAGTACGATGACGATTGTGCCGTCTTTTTGTGGCATTGTCGCGCTGACAACGTAGCGGTGGGAGTACCTGCGGACAGGTTGCCATGGTGTCACTTCGATTCATGTGGCACGGAATGGCACATACAAACGCTTCAGCAGCGGTCTCGCACAGCGTGTCTGCTCACAGGCGCACTTTTCGTCTGTAACTGTGGGGTGCCCTTGCCACTGCACGTGGACTCGAATCTGATGTCTGCGACCTGACATGAACTCGAAAGAAGATGCAAGATCAGCGTGGATGCCCGCATGACATTTTCTGTGCATGTCTGCGCCTGTGCAGATGGAAATGGAAACCAAGCTGAGATGTTCATCGCCTTGCGGCACTTAGCAATGCTTACAGGCATCTGTACAGGTACAGATCTAGGCGGTATATGGCAGAGCGTGCATGTGTTTAATCACTGATCACCTGAATCTGCTAAGGTCGTGGCGTGACCAGGATCGTGCGTGAGCAAGGCCCTGAGCATACTTGGAATAGTGGACTCCAGATGACCCCAGCAGATTGGAGGGCAGTAGTGTGGCAGTGGGAAATCGCAACAATGGCTGCTTTAACTCGAGCACATGCGGTCTGCCTACATGCAGATGGCCTGACGCAGGAATGCGCAGTTGTTTAAAACAGCCACATGAGACTGAGATCTTACAAATCGCAGCCGCTACGACTCGGCCTTGACTCGGGTTTCGGATGGTCGGCCATCGGCGCTCACGTGGCTGCGACCAGCAATAAAGTCTTGGACCTCAACAGTGGAAACTCAAGGGAGGTGGGAGGTGAGGCTCTAAATCCCAAAACCGAAGTGCATGGCTGTAACGAATGTGGTTTGGCCCTTAGCAAACTGACTGTGTTGGTTCATCCTCAGCTTGTCTGCCAGGTGTCTCCGATGTTCACAGGAAGGGGGCGTGGTTGGTTCGAGGAAACTCTGAATCCGTTGGGTCAAAGCCAGCGCCTCTTGCCGGCCAACCAAGAACAGAGTCTGGAGTCTGGAGCACGAGAGTTCAATGCAACCTGCGCATGACAAACAACAACGGCAAGAGAAGCACAATCTTGATCACGACTTTCTTTTTCCGCGACGACCGCGCTGGTTTGAAGTAGCGGCAGCTGGTGATCTTGAGAACAAAATGGGAATGCCACAAGCAAGCACAGCGACAGTCCGAGTCACGATCAAGTCGAGGAGAAAACCCAACAACACATCCAGCCAGCACAAGACGGCTTAGAGGCTTAGAGCGAACTTCCTGGATCGCATGGAGACATAGGCCGAAGTCAAGGAGTGCTTAGACAAAGCTGAGATCTCAAGAGATGTTTCCCCAGAAAATCAGGCTCGAATGATCGTTGGATGAGTTCAGAGCAGCTCGCAGGTTGGCGCGTGATTCGTTACCGACGCGGAAACTCAAGGGTGATTCCAGACGCCAACTCGGAGCTCGAAGCAGGAGGCTGGACCAAAGGTTCCGGTTTTGGAACCTGCTGCATCCAAACGAGACAAACTCGCAGCTGCTGATAAGAAACAATGGGCTAGGCACTCCGAGAGTTTGACGTTGACATTGATCTTCTGCATTGCCACTGGCCAAGTTCCAGCAAGAAGCACAACATATTCACGGCCTCAGTGCAGAACGCAGATGCAGCTCGCTACTGTCGTTACAGAGCTCACTGTGCCAAGTCGTGGGCAGATCGAGTATGTGTGCATTTGCCACTGCAGCCCTGCAAGCCCGCGAAAGCTTGTCCCCGCTAGAACCAAGCCAGAGCTGGGAATGTCCAAGCGATGCACGAAACCATACTCGAAAGCCGCCATGCGCACCACGCACGAAAATGGGTGGGAGTGCTGCATGTAGGATGACAGATACAAACCACTTCCAGAGAGCTGGCCCTTGGCATCGACTTCCCAGTAAGGTGGTTTGAAAACAACGCTGATGCCCTGCAGCTGCATGACCACGGTTGGTCGCTCCTTGCTCGACAACCTTTGATGATGCCGAGCCGACACAAGGTCGGGCAGATCCATGTTATCGAGGTATGTCCCGATGCATCGCAGCGCATGCTGCAATTTGTCTTCGAGCTCTGGCCACAAGCGACTGGCGAAGGAGAAGGCCCAAACGAGTTGGCATATGTGCGTCAACTCGTTAGCCGCACGATTCCAATCAGATCGACCATCCCCAAAGTCCAGTGCAAGAAGCCGTTGGCCCAAGGCCGCAAAGGTGAGGCTGTCTGCCGACTGCATGTTTGAAAGTGCCCATGCCATGTTGGCTAAACCTTGCAAATCGAGCTCATTCACAATTCTTGCTGTCTCTGCAACTTGAGCTATCAGGCCCATCAATGGAATGTTTCTGTATTGTGCCAGGGCGAATGACCATGCCCAGTTTGAAAGGTTTTGTGGCCGCATCTCTGTGCATATCCGTGTGCTCTGAGCAGCCGATGTATCCGAGAGAGGCTGCCCTTCAACCATCAGAGTGCCAGCCGTCCACAACGTGTTTGCAAGATCTTGCGGATTGAAGCAGTGAATGTTGGATACAGCTGCATTTGTCAGTGCTGCAATGACTGCTGCGCCGTCAGACACGAGAGTTGCAAAGGTCTGGAGTGTGTTGGATGCGTGTTGTCGGTCGAACTCCAGAAGGCGTGTCACTTGCTGTCTCAGGACATGCAGGAAAGGTCATTGCACAGAGGCCACGCGACCAAGACATCAAACAATGTTGACCAAGTTCTGATTGTCCAGTGCGGGCATGTTGCACGCAGCCCATGTCGAAACTGTTTCAGACAGAATCATGCTGTGGAGCTAGGGAGCGGCTGAACACCAGCCCAAATTGGCCGGGCCTTGCGCGGCGAGCTCGTCAGTACGAAGCATTGCAGCAGTGCCGGTTGCTTGAGTGATCAACTGGTGTTGGAGCAAAAGCGTGCTGCAGGCCTGTGCAATATTTGCCGAGTTCTGTGGAGAGAGCTCAGTCACCATCCCCAAAGCCTGGGTCGTCAAGCTTTCACAGGTCGCGATGTTGGAATGACCTAGGACGCCCAATGTTCACAACAGGTTTGCCGCACCTTGGGCACTTAGACTCAGCTTCCTCCAGTCGTCCGATGTTAGCATTGCCGGCAAAGGCTTCGGTTTGGGAGAGGCCGTAGCAAAGGCCCATAGAATGTTCGAGATGCTCTGCCCTGTGCATTCACCTCCTTGAAGCTTCATCACGGCCTGCTGGCCGCTCACGGCAAGGAGAGCCACGCGCTTCAGCTTCAGAATCCCGACAGATCATACTATGTTGGCAGCTCCCTGTGCGTCAAACTGCAAAGCTTTGGAGGTTGCCTCAGCCAGCAAGCCCTCCAAGAAGTGTCCATGGGCCCCTCTGCGAGCTGCTGCCTGGCCCTCTGGCAGGGCTGTCCCTGCCGTCCTTGCATCATTCACGGAAGGTCGATGAAGGAACGCCCCCTCGGCTGCATCCTTCTCGGCCGTTGTGTCCAAATCTACTTGCAACAGTTGTGTCGACTATGTGCTTCATTTCCACACTGGATGCAAGATGACGGACCACAAGTAGACTTCAGGCAATGTGTGCTGCTGCTTCCTCAAGTAATGACCTGCCAGTTTGACCGAGCCTGTCAGCAATCGCAACGCTGCTTCTCTATCCCTATACAGACAAGTCCCTGTCTGTGCTGAATATCTGAATTTCTTGTGAAGCTATTCCAAGGTGATAACCTGGCGATTTCGCGCCTAAATGGAAGGCAGGCACGCGGTCAGCAGCTCGAACTCCGTCAACAACGATCGACCCGGACACTCCACGGATATTTTCGGCACTCGCTATTTTCTAGCTTTTTCCGCTGCTGCCGTGCTCCTGGCCACACACCTAGCTAACATGAGCAAGCATGCACAGAATGCTCTGCCACTCGTGTCCCGCATTTCTTGGGAGTTCAATCCGGGATACCACGACTCCGAAACCATTCGAGAGCACGGGGTCATGGCCCTTGCTTTCACCTTCGGCTTACGAAGAGCATGCAGCGCGGGAAACGACTGAAAATAATTGCAATCGGCTTGACCGCCATGCGAAGTTGCTCGCACCTGACCACTGGCATCGCGTCATCGCGCGAGTCAAATGTCCGCAGGTTGCAGAAGACTCCCTTACGGTGATCTTTGCGTGCGCTCCATATTACAGCTAAAAGGCACCATGTGATCCTTCTTGCGAGCAATTCAGTGAAACCTAGTGAAACTAATTCAAAGGTTTTCCTGCGCAAGCCTTGTGCTTGCCTTGGTAATTGTGCTCTCCGAGAAGCTCCATAAGACCACCAGGAGTGCAGTCGGTCGATTGCGTTGAGGCAGAGTGTAATCAAAGTGCTTTTGATGCTGCATTTTTGCCGGCAAGAGAGCAAACTTCACCCCTTCACCAGATCGTGCCGTCGGGAGTTTCCGCCTGCCAGGGTCCAGGGACATGACAGGGTCAGCCGTATCCGCAACGCAACTGCAGTGCATCTGAAAGCTCTTTTGTGTCCGAACTCGGTGACGAGCAATCAACAAGTTCAAGCCGTCTCTCACATGCTGCGAAGCAGCAGACGGGTGAAGAGACCGCGCCGACTACCTTTGGCGAGTGACTATTGTACACATATGTACAGATCACAGAAACGTGATCGGCTCTAGATTTCTAGATGTTTTTCATCTTGACCACACTTGCTCTGTCAACCCCGCCGGCTTCCTCCGTCACCTCAGCAGCTGGCTACTAAGCTGTTCACGCAAGCGGAGAAGCTTTCATCATGAATCCTACGCACATTGAAGGCGCAAGGCTGTGGGTCCATCCTCGCCACTCAGGTCCTGCACATGTACGGAGGGCGGCGGAACTTTACTGAACAGCTGAACCTCACAAGAGTCCCGGAATTCAATAATTCTGGAGAACCGAACGGACAGAGCTGTGAAGAGAGTGGTGGCGCCACAGATGTATTCGCAGGTGCCCGTGCCGGCTCAATACATCGTGACACGGCTTCGGAGCATGCCCTTGATGTTCTTTGGCAATCGCTTCACTCTGCTTCTTTGCGGGCTGCAGTTCTGTTCTGAGAGTCTCATGTTTAGTGAGTTTTGGAGTCGCTTAGGAGCCCAGTCTGCGAACTCCCAGTTTGTGAGCTTTGCTAAACTGCAAGTAAGATCAACTGACTGATTGGAGCATATTGGAGCCTTGAATCGCCTGGGTTACGGGTAATTTCCAATCGCCGGAACATTCAGCAAGCACGACCTGCAAATTGTATACAGTAAAGGGTCGAATCAAGCCTCGCCGGAAGATGTAACCCTGCTCGAAGTCAACACTTCGGTCCATCCACGCTCATAAACCAGAGACTTCTGATGTTGCAGAAGACATATGAATCTATGATAATCTATGCAATGTAACGAGCTACATTAACCGATGTCCGTCACGACTCTCGTATCGTTGCCTGCACTTTCCCGGCACAACACGGCTGATGTAAGGTGAACACGATTGAAACGTTATCCGGCCCCATGCGGCCCCTCTCTTGAATGAAGCGCTTTTCACATCGGGCTACTCGTGTCAGCGCCTTTGGAACTTTCTATACGCAGTTTGTGTTTTTGTGCGGTAGCAAGCACGTTGCCGACATGGCGGGCATTGCGCGAGAATCCCGGTCGACTTCGCGCACGATTCAAAACTAAGACACTCGACCTGCAACTGGTTAAGGTCACATGTCAACGTGCGAATCACTTGCACACTGGGGCATGGTTCCGCAGCTCGTTGATGCTCAACGGTGCAAGCATGGCTGCTAGGCCACTCTGGCGAATGCAATACAAGGGCAGTACCGAAGAGTGCAAAGACCGTGCCGGGTTGTTCAAGATGCTCCTTACTAGCTTCAAGTCGTAAGGTGATTGGCACTCTCAGCTTCAGACATTGGCTGCTCTACATGAAACTGAACTGTCGAGGGGAGTTAGCCGAGATTTTTCTGAAGCCCGCGCCTGTATATTTCGCCTGATTCGAATGGTTTTTGTTTGGATGACTTGGTACGACTTTCCCGCCCTCGCCGTCTCGGGTGTCTTCGGCGAAGGGCCCGGCAGGGGCAAAGCCCGTTTTCGGTGGCACTGTGTCCTGGGCTCCGTCGCCGACAGGCCCCGAGTCTGGCTCCGATACCGCGTCCTCAACACCTTGGAAATCAGATCGGCGGGAATTGCAGCTAGCTGCGCCCTGCGACCTTCAAAAACCAAGGTTTCGGTGCCATATCCAGCCCTTGACTCTAACTTGGCTCAGGACCCAAAGCTGGCGAAGCAAGCACACGAGCTGCATGATCTATCAGCCCATCCTTGGCATACTTGGCGCACATATTGTCAACTGGATTTCTTGCAGGCG